GAAAGTCTTTGTGTAGTCAATAAGGCACAGGTAAACATCTTTCTGGTATTCTCTGCTTTCAGCAACGATCCATTGGACATCAGCAATGATATCCCTTGTCCCATGGCCTCTTCTGAATCCAGCTTGAACCTCTGGAAGTTCTCTGTCAATGTATGCTTGCAGCCATTTCTGTGTTACCTTCAGTAAAACTTTACTCACATTTGTTGTAGAATAGTACTCCATTATACAGATATAGCCCATTTTCCTCATTCATTTATTTATTGATGAATATTTGGGTGGTTCCTGCCCTTTGGGTACTGTGAATAATACTGTAATGAACATGGCGGTACTCAAATGTTGGAGTACACCAATCTGAAGCTTCATATTCAGTGTGTTTTTAAATATATATGTTTAAATGTTGGAGTACACCAATATATATGTTTAAATGTTGGAGTACACCAATCTGAAGCTTCATATTCAGTCTGTTTTTAAATATATATGTTTAAATGTTGGAGTACACCAATATATATGTTTAAATGTTGGAGTACACCAATCTGAAGCTTCATATTCAGTGTGTGTTTAAATATATATGTTTAAATATGAGTATATGCTCTGAAACGTATTACTGACAGAATTTATCATTACAAAGGGGCTCAGCATATTTTGTATGCTCATGTTTTTTTGTAAGAGAAAAAACACAAGATTGATGTTTACATTTCATCATTGTTTAAAGTAAACATTTGTTTGAGTCCCTGCTTTCAGTTCTTTTGGGTGTACACCTGGAAGTAGAATTGCTGGTTCATACAAGAGGGTTTCAAAAAGATTGCCAAAGTCCTTGATGAAATTCACAGGCTAAACATTTTTAAAACCTGTAAAACAAATCCCAAGTTTCTTTCTGCTGTATGTGAGCATGCGAAGGCTGGTTTGCTTGTTGAGATCTGTGAAAGAAGCTTCTATAGGATTTAAATTTCATGGCTTCCCAGCAAACGTATCAAATGCAGTGTAGTTGTGACAAGGGTAACTGTTTTTTCTTGGGAAGATTTCTTTTTTAAAAATTGAGTTTAAAAAAGTTAAGTGTGAGTGGCAGGAGAGGACAGCGGACCCCAGTCCTCTCCTGTAGCTATGGAGGTGGACTCTAGACTTCCTTTTTGTTTCCTCTCTAACAGCATGTTACAGGAGTTTGAGCAGGTGCCGAGACACTTGACTGATGAGATCCACTTGTTTTCCCTGGACGACCTGGTCAGGATCAAGCGAGGACTGCTGCTGCCCTTACTGAAAGAACTCCTGAAGGTTTCCCTCGCGCACGTGACTGACTGTGAGGTGAGGGTTTTCTGGGGCCGGGAGAACAGTCTCTGAGACTTCAGGGTTCTGCTGGGGTGTTCTGCACGGGACCCTTCTTTAATCCTCACAAGTTCCACATGAAGTGCCGGTGACATCCTTTATGGATGAGCAAACTGAGGCTCGGAACCAGGATCCTCCTGCTGGTAGGTAGCAGAGTGGGCATGCAAGTGTAGGCTTTTTACTCTGAGTGCCCAGCCTTGCTTGTGGCCTGCCTTGACTCTGACCTCTGCTGCCTAGGACAGGCGTGTGGACTCAGGACCAATGGATCGGGAACCTTTGTCCTATGTCTACATAGATTGAAGAATTGCAGTGTAGAAATTAGAAAACAAAACAAAACAATTATTTAAGAACGTATATTTAAAGTTGAACACAGAGAGAAATACTGCACCTGACCTCACTTACCTGAAATTTCTAGAATAGCACATGCCCAGAAACTAAAGCTTGTTGTTGCTAACCAGGGGCGGGGTTAGGGCTTGGAGGAGACAGGGAAGTGTGTGTGTGTGTGTGTGTGTGTGTGTGTGGTGGTGGTGGTGGGGAGCGGTTATTTTACTACAAAGGCATTGAGTGTTCATTTACAGAGAAGAGATGGAAACATATTTGAGAAAGCATAGTGGTTGTAAAACTTGAGGACGCGTTAATGGGACTAAATTGTATACTCAGAAGTGGTTAAAATGGTGAATGTTCTATATATGTTACCATAATAAAAAGAGAAGAAAGTAAGCACATTTAAAATCATGATCGTTTCTGATGTCTCAAACAGCCGTGACGTGCAGTCTGTCTATGCAGAATCTGTGCCGATCCATTCATTGCTTCAGGAGACAAGATTCATTCACTTGGAGGCTGGAATCATAGGCATTCAAAAAAGCAATACTTAGGAAGTTCTGTAAAGTGATAACTCGGCTTCTCCTCTAAAGAGACATTCCCTGTGAGGATTTTAACCTGTTCACTCCTCCTCTCCTAGCTCTGTCAAGGAAGGGGCTTCATTTGTGAATTCTGCCAGAGCAAGACTGTTATCTTCCCCTTTCAGACCGCAACGTGTAGAAGATGTGCAGGTATCTCTCTTTAAGTGTAATGAGGCTGGTGTATGTTCATGTGTTGGATGGGAAGGAACAGAGTGTTGGTGCACACGTGTACACACACATGTCCAGCCTTTTCTAGACTTCGATTCTATTCTGACACGTGTGTTAAAGTGTGGAACTGCTCCACGGGGCTTTTTTGGCTGTGATCTTAATGGAAGCAGATTGCCAGAATTTCTTCCACCGTACTGCTGTATGGGTTCCAACCGCAGTTTGCCCCACCTTGCACGGGTAGGGGTAAAGAATGAAGCCTTATAATGCAGACTTTGGATAGAGGAGGTGGTCCTCCCTGCCTGTGCCCAGTTCTCCTACATGAAGGGTACTCTTATGATTGGAATGTAGTTAAGCCAAACTTTTAAGTGTTTCTGGCTGCTTTTGCAAGACAACAGAGTTGAGTAGCTTCCATGCCACCGATAAGGTCTGAAACGCTTACTCTGTGGTTCTTCACAGAAGGCAGCTGACCTTTGTGTCTGGGAGTAATGCCTGGGATCCCAAGCTCTCTAATTGTGTGTCATGGAAGAGAGCTGGGTCATGAAGGCCCCCATCACCCATCCATGGCAGGTCCACTTCTAATGCTGCCCCTCCAATGCTGTGCCTGTTATGGATTGAATTGTGTCTCCCCAAATCTGTGTGTAAGTCCTGACCCTTGTACCTATGCATATGGTCTTGTTGGAGAATAGGACTTTGTTATGTAATTAGTCCATATCTGTGTATGGTGTGCCTTAACCCTAAACCTCCCTGAATTCTAGGGAGCAGCACAGATACAGCCATACTGGAGGAGACTGAGTACATGCCATGTGGAACTGAGGTACCCTGGGTTTACAAAAGCTGAAGGAGACAAGGCTCGTCCCCAGAGCTGACACTTAGCCCTAGGGCCAGTACTCAGAATTCAAACGTCTAATCTCCTAAACATTGAGAAAATAGTATAACTATTCTCTAGTTCCATTCACATGTGGTATTTCTGCTACAGAAGTACTAGGTAGCTAACTAAGACACTTAGTCGGGAGTATGGGCTAGAGGAGGTCAGTGTGATAGTTAAAGTTTTCTGTCAACTTGCCTGGGTCCGAATTCTCAGTGGTTTAGCAGTTCAGATGTATAGTTAACACTTCCATGGTGAGATCTCATCTGAAGCAATCACACTGTGATGTGATCTCATGTGATCAGCTCTGATCTAATTACCCTTGTGTGTTGTAAATGGTCACTCCTGTGATGCTAATGTGGAGTCTTGGTGTGGCACTACAGGATAATGCACTGGACTACAAGGTCAAGTTTGAACCACAAACTCACCAGCCACTCCTCAGAAACCCTATATAGGATTGTTATGCATCAGAACGGACTCAGATGGCACTTAACAACACAACATGATGTTAATGAGGTCAGATGCAAGCTGTAGGGTTAGGTGTATGTGAGTCATTCTCTTATGAGATGTAAAAGGAGAGAGACCTATGGCTAGTAGAGGGACCTACTCCCATCAAGATTAAGGAGCCAGGAGTGGACTGTGTCCTGTGGACCTGGGGTCCCTGCACTGCGAAGCTCCTCGATCCAGGGGAAGACTGATGCCAAGACACATGGGGATCTCCAAGGAATGCTGGACCTATGGGTGCTGAAAGGAGACAAGGACCTTGCCCCACAGAAGCCACCCTGAATTCAGAACTCTAGTCTCCTGAACTGTGAGGGAACAAATACATTTCTGTTGGTTAAAGTCATCCACTTATGGTACTTCTGTTACAACAACACTAGAGAACTAAAACAGGCAGTATGCAGAAAGTTCGTGAGGTACATTCTCAGGCTCACACCCGTGGGTTGAAGGCAGCACTATTGGGCCAAGGAAGCAGTCTCAATGAAGGTCTCGGTCCATCTCCCGGGAGCTCTGAGCCAGGATTGCCTTTCAACTTTGACCCATATTGGGGCAAGGAGGCTAGCTGGGCCTTTAAACTACACATTGACTGCATCTGAGTACAGGCTGGACCCAGAAGGGGTGGAAACTTCGGTGAAGCAACTCTCTCCTGTCTTGGCTTTTCCAGAGCAGGGACTTGGCATTCTATGAGCCATCAGCCACCGGCATCTCAGCAGCTGGGGAAAATTCATACCTCAGTCCTTGTGTGGTTAGCGGGATGGACAGCACTGCAGTGTCCACTACAGCAGCCTTTCTGGGCCTCAGGTCACAGTCTGTTGGGGGATTGATAGTTCCTGTGAGTTTCAACCTGGCTACTGGGTGTATGTGTTTAGAAGACCCTGGAGCCTTAGTTTCCTTGGGTTGCCACAACAAAATACCACAGTCGATGGCTGTAAGGAACATACATTTATCTTGTTCTGGAAGCTAGAAGTCTAAAATCTGGGTCTCAACTGTATCAAGTCTTCCTGGGTCTTTGAGAGGAACTGTTCCACACCCCTCTCCTAGTGTCTGGTGGCTGCTGGTAGTCCTTGGCATTCCTTTGGTGCTTAGAAATGCATCTCATCTGCTTCCACCATCGCATGTATGGCATCTTTCTTCTTCCTGTGTGTGACTGTCTATCTGACCCCCTTCTTTTGAACACTTCATTGTGGTTTGGGTGAACGTTTACAGAGCAAACTGGTTCCCCATTGGACAGTTTACACACATTTTGTTTCATGACATTAGTTGCAGTTCCCTGATTGTCACAGCGCTCTTTCCCCTTCTTCCTCATGCTCCCCATTTCTATTCTCCTATCTTTCCTTCCTGCCTTCGGAACTTTGTGTTTGGTCTCATGTGGTTGATGGTTCTGAGGAGTATATTCCTCATGGGTGTTATTGTTCACTTCAGAGTCTTGTTTGTTGTATATCTGAAATGGATCGCCAGGAGGGGGGCCCAGTACCAGGCTTGAAGGGTGTCTAAGGGCCATATTCTCAGAGGTTCTCTATCATGCCAATAAGTCCAATCTTTTTAATTATTTTCAGTTTTGTTTTATACTGTTCTGCCCAGGACCTTCTATTGTGATCCTGATCAGAACCATCAGTAGTGGGAGCTGAGCACCACCTAGTTCTTCTGGTCTCAGGCTAGTAGAAGCTACAGTTCATGTGGTCCACTTGTCCATGGACTCATTGTTTCTTGGAGTCTTTGATTTGCTTCACTCTTCTTTGCTCTGGATTGTTCTCCTTTTTAATAAGACACCATTCAAAAGGGTTTAGGATTAGGACCTACTCGACTCAGGTATGACCAATTTAACGCTAAAGAAAACACCTATTTCCAAACAAGGTCATGTTCACAGTTCTAACAGGGGTTAGAATTTCAACATTTTTTGCGGGGGAGTGCCATTCAGCCCTCACTCCCGCCATCCCAAGGCTGGGTATGAGCGTTTGTAGGGATGGGAGAAAGCAAGGTTGCCCATTGGCTGAACTGTCATTCTTACTTGCAGTGTGCAGAGCTTGCTTTCATAAACAATGCTTCCAGTCCTCCAAGTGCCCCCGGTGCGCAAGGATCACAGCTCGGAGAAGCCTCATGGAAAGTTTGCCCTCGGCAGCGACGTGATACCGGAGCATTGTGGAAAGACTGTTCAACATACCTCATGGCAACCCCAATTTGTGTCTGTTATGTAATGTTGTTTTATATCTTGAGTCTTGTACATTCAGAAGAAAAGAGCTAACAAATAGTCTCTTTATTGTATATATTTGATGCTTTAAAAGGATGCAGATTCTTTGTTATTTATTCAGTTTACTAATGGTTTTGTTTACATATTTTCAATGGATTTGCTGCTCTTTGTTGTGTTTTCAGAGTTTTTTTGCTACTTTTTAAATTGTATTGAGCAAGTTGTATTTAACCAATGTTAGAGCCTATTTTTTGTAATTGATAAGAAGAACTGCTCAGTTTCTCATCCTTTAAAGTTTAGTTAGTGAAACTGATGGGTACTTTCGGTGAACAAAAATGCAACCAGGAATTTGTGGCTCAAGCTTTTTTCTTTTAAGAAACAGATTTGTCCTTGGCCTGCTGTGGTTTATAAATGCCATTTTATCAGACTCATTCATGCTCATTATATTTATTCCAGGGCTTGTACAGAGAATATGTATTGTTTCTGCTGTTAAATCTATTTCAAAATGATTTTGAGATTACTAGGTCTTAGCAGTCCTTGGAGGTCCAGTCAAAGTGTCCTTCCAAGCAGGTGTTTCTTGATGGTGCTGGTTCTGGCAGCACAAACCCAATTTGTATTTGCCGCCTATTTTATACACACATAGGACCCTGGGCAGCACAAATGGTTTGTGCTCAGATCCTAATTAAAAGATTATTGGTTCAAATCCACCAAGCAGTGCCATGGAAGAAAAACCTGGTGATCTGCTTTCGTGAAGATGACATCCAAGGAGACCCTTTGGTGCTCAGTTCTGTTCTGTAACACCTGAGGTAGTTCTGGGTCTGAACTGACTTGATGGCAGCAGGTTTGTAATTCTCTGTAATTCTCCATGCATCTAGGTTAGAACAGAACTTACAAGTTAAAGTTGAAACTGTCCAAACAGATTTGACAGAGAAAAGAGGCAAGAATGTAGAACATGAGTTGTGAAGGTAAGCTGATTTAAATGCCAAGCCCAGCTCTATCACACACGACCTGTGGGAACCTAGGTAAATTATTTCACTTCTTTAAGCCTCAGTTTTCTTATCTGGAAAATAGAGATACTGACATTTAATTTACCTTATAAAGCTGTTAAAAGAATGTATACATACCCCTCACTCTCTCTGGTATCTGCTTCACCAAACATGACGTCCTCTGTAAAGAATGGCTCTATCTTGGTGACTTGTCTGATGCGAATGAGTAAGACAGTGTTCTCTTGTGATCCGTTAAGTTGTCATTGGCTGATTTTCAGAAGTAGGCCACTCAGACTTTTTTCCTAGGCTTTTGTTGGAAGCTTTGCTGAAACCTGCCCACGGTGACTGACCCTGCTGGTATTTGAAATACTGATGCTATACCTTCCAACATCACAACAACATGCAAGCCAACACATACCGCAAACTGACATATGGGTGGTAGGTTTCATTCTTGCACATCATTTATATTCTCTGATAGAAATTGTGGTGTGTATATATTCCTAATGGTAGCTTTATAAGATAAATGTCAATATCTCTATTTTATAGGTAAGAAAACTGAGGCTTAAAGAAGTGAAATAACTTACCTAGGTCCACACGAGTAGCATCTGTTAGAGCTGGGCTTCAAAGCTCATATTCTCTGTTCCGACTTTCTCTGTTATAGTCTTTGGGTCAAGCCAACTTTACCTTGCTGTTAAAGTGCTGTTCTAACCTATGTTAGATACATGGATAATTACTGGTGATTAGATTGCGAATGCTGAAAACAAAAGGGAAGGATACAGACTTGAAGAATATGGCCTTGGTGATAGAAACAATGCTGGTGATCACATGATATAAATTTTTTTTTGACATGATAGAATTTTGCAAGACCAATTACTTATTCATTGCAAATACCATTTTCTAACAACATAAGCGGTGACTCTACATATGGACCCATGGACCTCACTAGATGGAATACACAAGAATCAAATTGATCACTCTGTGGAAAGAGATGATGGAGAAACTCAGTATCGTCAACCAAAACAAGGCCAAAGGCCGACTGTGGAACAGACCTTCAATTACTCATATGCAAGTTCAAAGTAAATGTCAGAAAAGACTCTCAATTTTTCTCTTGAGTGTAGATTAGTTTAAGTGAATGGAAGAAATGATGATTAAATGGCAGCTCAAATACAGTATTACCACAAAATAGGCAAAGACCAGAATTAGAAAACCAAAAGGGAAGAACACATAGCATATTCCTCCAGCTGAAAGAGCTGAAGAAAACAATTCAAACCTTGAGTTGTAATTTTGAAGGATCTTATGAGCAAACTATTGAATGATGGAGGAAGCATCAAAGAATATGGAAGGAAGGAGAAAGAGGAGGCTTTCTGCTCCCATAAAGATTTACAACCTCAGTAACCCTATGTAGGGTCACTATGAATCAGAACCGACTCCATGGCACACCACTGCCAAGACAACAACATTAGTAAGGTATGCCCACCATGGAATGGGCAATCATTCAAAATCAAAAGGGCAACATTTTCCTAAGGACCAAGTTGAGAATGGTAGGAAGATGGATGGAATGCAAAAAGAAGCACCTGGAGGAAGGGGATTGTTGCATGGAGAGGATTGTAATAATTGAGATGAAGCAAACTGTATGATTTGCTGAATGTAAAGCTGATGATCTTGTCTGTAAACCTTCACTCAATTCACAATAAGACGTTGAAAAAAAAAAAAAAAAGAATATGGAAGAAATACATAGAGTCACTATAATAAAAAGTTCAACCATTTAAAACTCGACCACATAAAATGGTTGACACGCAACCATTTTATGAGGTATCATATGATCAAGAACTGATGGTATTGAAGGGCAAAAGAAGTCCAAGCTGCATTGAAGGCACTAGCTAAAAACAAGGCCTCAGGAATTGACAGAATGCCAATGTTGCAACAAACTGACACAGCACTGGAAGCATTCACTTGTCTAAGCCAGCCAACTGCATGAGATCCTTATTTGTGCCCATTCCAAAGAAAGCTGATTCACAGAATGTAGATGTCATTAAACAATATAGTAAATATTATGTATAAGTAAAATTCTGCTGAAGATAATTGAAAAATAGTTGCAGTAGTACATTGACAGAGCTGCCAGAAATTCAAGCCAGATTCAGAAGAGGATGTGGAATGAAGGCTCTTGTTGACATCAGGTGGATCTTGGCTGAGAGGAGAGAATATTAGATTTATTTGTGTTTTATTGACTATCAGAGGCATTATACTGTGTGGACCTTAACAAATGATAACATTGTGAAGAATAGGAATTTCAGAACACTTAATTGTGCTCACGTGGAACCTGTATGCAGGCTAAGAGGCAGCCGTTTGAACAGAACAAGAGAATGCTGAATGGTTTAAATTCAGGAAATGTGTGTGTCAGGGTTACATTCGTTCACTATATTTATTCAGTCCGTGTGCTGAGCAAATAATCTGAGAAGCTGGTTTATATAAATCCGAGAAGAAAGTAGTGTTAGGATTGGAGTTGGCTCATTAACAACTTACAATAAGCAGATGATAAAACCTTGCTGGCTGAGAGTGAACAGGACTTGAAGTTGTTGCAGATGAAAATCAAAGATTACAACTTTCAGTATGGATTGCATGTCAATATAAAGAAAACGGAAATCTTCACAACTGGACCAATAGACAACATCATGGTAAATAGAGAAGAGATTGAAGTTGTTAAAAGATTTCAGTTCACTTGAATCCACAATCAATGCTCATGGAAGCAGCACTTGAGAAATCAAATGATGTAAAATACTGATTAAAGCTGCTGCAAATGACCTGCTTAAAGTGTTTAAAGAGAAGTCAAGAGCGCTGTGGGAGGAATGGTTGATGTCAGGTTTGGTAGAGAAGGTGGATGCCACATAGGACTCAGCCTTGAACTGATGCTGATGGTGATTTTCCTTCCTTCTGGAAAAGTATGAGGCGTTCACACACCTACATGATATTTTTTTTACAGTGCACTTGAACCAAGCTATGGTACTTCAGATGCCTCATGTGCATGTAAAAAATGGACAATAAATACAGAAGACTGAAGAAAAATTGATGTATTTGAGTTATGATGTTCCTTTCTTTCTTTCTAGCTGCCTCTTGGGCAAAAGTTTCATAATCTATCTTAAGAGAAATTCTAGAAAGTAGAGCTGCTAGGTGTGTGAGTACAGTTAACATTTTTATAAATGTTGTCAAGTTGCCCTATAGAAATGGTAAGTCAAGGCAGATGTCCCTTGGTAGTATTTGAGAATTTCCATTTTACCATAGTCAACCAAACACTACTTTTATTTTATTTTACTTTTTACAACTTTATTGAGGTACAGTTGACAGACACTAAATTATATATTTTTGTCCACTAGTTCTGGTGTGGCACTGTAGAATAAGCACCAGATTGCTAACCAAAAAGTCAGTGGTTCAAACGTACCAGCTGCTCCTTGGAAACCCTATACAGGATCGCTGAGACAGACTGACTTGACAGCACTTAACAACAACAAGTCTTTTGAAAATATTTGCCTGATCTGTAGAAAATGTGGAACTGTTTTAATTCACATTTCTTCAATTACAAGTGATAAACCTTTTAGTATTTATCTATTGAGCATGCTGTGGATAACATTGCAAAGAATGGATATTCCAGAACATTTGATTGTGCTCATGAAAAACCTCTACATAGACCAAGAGGCAGTGGTTTGAACAGAACTGTGGGATACTGAAATGGTTTAAAATCAGGAAAGGTGGGTGCCAGGGCTGTGTTCTTTCACCATACTTAATCAGTTTGCTGAGCAAATAATCCAAGAAAGTGGATTATATGAAGAAGAGTGTGATGTCAGGATTGGATGGAACTCATTAGCCACCTGTGATATGCAGATGATTCAGCCTTGCTTGCTGAAAGTGAACAGGAATTAAAATACTTATTGAGATTGTAACCATGGCAATGAGAGGATATA